GAAAGAGAATGAAATTTAATCAGTCAAGAATAATTGATTTGTTTATATTTCTTCCGTTAATTTTATCCAATTTTTTAATACTTTATTGCTTCCTGTGTACTTTATCTAAGTATATACATTAGTTCTATATTCAAGCATTTATTTTAGAAAAGTGATGAAACCCAAAAGTTAATGTTATTTACATTGAATCAAACTTTCGTCTTCTTTCTTACAATCCTAATTAAATTACGTCTTCTTTCTTACAATCCTAATTAAATCTTCAGTTTAAAAATATTAAGATATTTCACGATAATTCCAAATTAGTTGGGTAAATTTTATTTGAAATAATAAATAAAAAATAATAATCTGAAATAACCAATTATTTCCATTAATTTATTATTTTTATTTGAAAAATAATTTGAAAAAGTAATTTTATCTTGAGTTCAAATCAGATAAATCATTTGTAAATAATCTTCATTCAGTTAATTCATTGAAACAAAATAACATAATAAGATAATAATTTTAATAGGAGATTAAGTTTATAATATGTAATAGAATTAGAAACTATTTGAAAAATCATTTCAAAGAATAGATATAAAATATAAAATAAATTAAAAAATCATTTTACTTCAGCCAAATAATTAAATAAAGGAAAATAATTTGCTTGTTCAAATAAACTAACGCTGGTTTATTTCAAGATAGCATTGAGTCAAATAAGATGATATGTTACTTAAATAATCATTTTACAAATATTTCATTCAATTGAATTCAATGAATTAAAGTTTTAAATTTATGCAATGGTATGTAGTGAATAAAAGAAGCATTTGTCACTCATTTGTGATTTACATTAAATTTAATAATAGAAGGGAAATATAATATATTATAGGGACAACAAATATTGTTACGATCATGTCAACGTCATATATTATATATGAATTTTTAATTTCTATATATGAATAATATATTATATATGAATTTTTCATTTCTATCGTCAAAATATATGTATATTATAATACTTTATAAATTGAAAATTAAAATACATATACTGAAAAAGACACTTACATTTACGAGAATTATAAAAGCTGATGATATAGCAATAACAGATATTGATAGCAATGCATAGATCTATTGATGCTGTGTACAGCTGATAAAACAATTTTTTACTAACAGGATTAACGGAGATATAATGTACCTTGTCTGTAGTTTCAAGTAGCAGTAACAGCAGCAGTAACAACAACACTAGTGATAGCAGCTGCAAATCGACGAAAGAGCAGCTGTTCTCTTTAGTCGCTCCCGAATCACGATTTCAGTTTCTGGTTCAGGTTCTGCTTTTCCTGTCTCTTGCGACATATGTGTATCTCGTTCGTAGGTTTGTAATAATTCACGAAGTAAAATAACTGTTCCGACTATTTGTTTGAAAAATTTATACACAATAGTATACTATGTTGAAACCATTTAAATTAATTTTGGTGTTTGCAAACTATGGTATAAATCCACAATGGAATTGAAATGAATTTTAATAAAGATAAACTTACGTGATTGCCTCTACAAAGATTAATAATACGCCTGTACTATAATTATTATAATACCGTTATTAGTTATTATTGCAGATAATTATTATGATACTATTAGCTACTAAATGATTCAATTTTTGCCGATTAAATTATATTATATTTAAAAATGTAGTTTAAATAATTTCGAGAATAATTGAAGTTACAAATAAATTGAATTTTCTTATCACCAATTGATTTAGGTATATTTCAATTGATAGAAGTGATTATTTTTGACCATGAAATCTAAATAATACCAGAGTAAGATAATATTCTAGATAAAACATTTAGAGCCCATTCTTTATACACATGGTACACATTATATTTATACATAATGGAAATAATAGTTGCTGTGCATGTACATATGTATGTATGCTTCATTGAGGACGAAGTGTCGTTAACGATATTCTGCCCCTGAAACGCAAGTGGTACGCGATTATATAATATAGGAGGATGATCGCAAAGAGAACGCGTGTACGCGTGCACATCGTGTGCCGATTGGAACGCGTCTGGACAGCCGGAGGAGGGACTTAGGGTGATTTAGCCCCTGTATCGAAGTCGCATTGTATTCGTCGCCTGATTCTCGTCTCGGTGCCAGCTGTTCTTATTTTCTCTCTCTCTCTCTCTCTCTTTCTCATTATAACCCCTCTCCTTTTCCTCACAACGACAAGCTTTCCTCGAAACTTTCCTTTGTCGAACATCATCCACGTTTCTGCTAGTCGATCCGTACCGAAATTAATCAAAAGGGAACGATCGCAAGCACGTGGACAACCCCTACTGCTCGCTACTCAAATGAAACGCAGACGCTTCTCTCCGATCAAAATATTAAATAGCGCGACCAACCCTCCAGGGCACTGGCTCCCCCAACAATAAGAGGTGGTGGAGTTCTTGCTCATGAAGGGGGATTCGGAGGGGGTACGGTCACGTGCCAGCCATGGGAATATAATGCCGCAACGGCCACGTGCCCGTCACGTAACGGGTGTGCGCTGAGAAAACGACCACCGGTTGCTTTTAACCGCACAGATGCGTCCTACATGTATTGCTTCCTTCCTTCCTAATTACACGCCTCTACTATGTGAACTTTTTATCTCAACACTCTCATTGAACAATATAATATAGTAATATAATATTCTTAGTTTTTAGTATTACGAAATATATTTTTATTTATTTAATAATGTATTATAATACTTATAACTTGATATTTATGTACTAGATTTACTATATTTAGGTATATTTGCTATAAATTAAATTTACTATATTTAGGTATATTTACTATAAATTAAATTTACTATATTTAGGTATATTTACTATAGATTAGATTTACTGTATTTAGGTATATTTACTATAGATTTATTATATTTAGATATATTTATTATAGATTTACTATATTTAAGTATATTTACTATAAATTAGATTTACTATATTTAGATATATTTACTAAATTTACTATAGATTAAATTTACTAAATTTAGATATATTTATTATAGATTAGATTTACTATATTTAGGTATATTTACTATATTTAAGTATATTTACTATAGATTAGATTTACTGTATTTAGGTATATTTACTATAAATTAGATTTACTATATTTAGGTATATTTACTAGAGATTAAATTTACTAAATTTAGATATATTTATTATAGATTAGATTTACTATATTTAGGTATATTTACTATAAATCAGATTTACTATATTTAAGTATATTTACTATAAATTAAATTTACTATATTTGGATATATTTATTATAGATTAGATTTACTATATTTATATATGTACTAGATATACTACATTTATGTTATATTTATTATAAATATTTACAATAATTATTATGTAAATATTTATAATATTATACATTATATGTTGATATGTGTTATATAATATGTGTTATATAATAATAATATATACGTATATATTTTACATGTATTTTTATATCCATATTATATATTCATTCGTAATTATTATTAGCTGATTATTTATTGATAACTGACACGTTTTAAGATGTTTTGTTGAAAATCAAATTCGTTCATTTTCAATAAATTATTTTTTATGTACTTGCTTTTCTGTTTATCGCATTTATTGCATGCCTATTTACATATACTACATCTCGGATTTGATTCGATATTTAGGACTCAGGTGTGAAATGTGTGTTAAAAGTGACAAGCACGTGAAAATATTGTATATATTAATACCAACGGCTTATTTAATTTAACTTATACTTACAATTAGTTGAAATTAAATTTTGATTAATTACCAATCAGTTTCCATTACGATACCGCGTTGCAGTTTTTAATGAATTTGAAAATTTAAAAGAATAATTAACGTAGAAATTAAAATTTGACACGAATGCTGACGATGTAGAATAAATATGTTATAATATATCGCAGTTAGGTTGAATGATGAAAAGAGGAAAACCATATTAGTTATCTGTTGAATGAGGTGGCAACAAAATCCAAGCTCCCTTTTTCGTGCGTTAACGAATGTTGATAAATTACTTTTCTGGACATATTAATCAAGCTGCCAAAGGGTAGATAATAAAATCTTAACCTAGTGCATTAATATCTTTTTTAAAAAATCGTAATTAAAGTTTATCTTTTACAACAGAATGCTTTTTCCCACATAAAATGTAATAAATATAGTAAATCCAATAGTGTAATATGTAACAAAATAAAATGTAATCACATATATTTGATTTCATTAGATCATGTAATTATTTATATGCATAATATTAGATATTTATTAATGTGCGAGGAATTTAATTCAACAATTTAGTTTTAATATAAATTAATAAATTAATAAATTACATAATGATTGAAATCAAAAAAGTATTTTTTAAAGTATAAATCACACAATTTTATTAAATAGAGTTTATTAAAATATTCTAAATATTAACTCTTAAAAATAGGAGATATTTCATAAACTAATAAATATAAGTATATTAATGACGATATTATTTTATGTTGAATTTTGTATGCCCCTGTTTGTATCGATGTATGTATCGATCATGTCAGATGTGAAGCATTGAAAGTATTTATGTGAAATTTGTATTTATTAACCTTCAGTTCAAAGAATTAGAAATTGAAAATTGAAATTTATCTAATTAAAATTGCACTAAACTTTCCAAGGTTGTATCGACAATAAATATGTCTTAATTACGGATATGCATGTTTACTATTACTGTATGGATATGTAATCACTTAGATTATTTGTAATTTTATTTATTAAATCGCTTTGTTATGTACGTAAATTACTCAAATATATATACACTCCACATAAACATTAATATTTCCGCACTTGTTTTACAAATTTCGATTATAAACGTTATGATTTTTAAAAAGATTTTTCATTATTAAATTTTATAAACATTATCTCTATGAATATCCTGAATATATATTAAGCATCATTGACTTTTCGCGCCGGTCATGAAGTAAGATATGTGTATAGTAGAATTTTCAATAAAATTGTATCACATTTCTGGATCTGAATTTTTATGGATCGTTTAATATTCCATGTGGTATTTATAAATTAAGATAACACCAGCACTTCATATTCTCTAAATGGAATTTCTCTGCCTTCAAAAGGTACGTACAATACTCCGTGGGTTCTATGTATCTGTAAAGAAATGTTTAATATAATACAGATATAAGTAAATTCAAGCAAAGAGAGAAGGAATCCGTAGAGCTTAAAATAAGAAAATGTGATGTGGTAAAAAATTTTATATAATATAGATATACAGTATACTTTATACTGACTACGGTATAGATAATATAACGAAAAAAATACAAAAAATTATGAGACATAGCAGAGCTGTAGTAGAGTATATGTGAGATATAGTAGTAGAACGTAGCTAAATTAATAGGAAGATAAAAGTATTTTGTTAGTAAAATTTTTGAAGGAAAGGCTACTTTTTTGATGTTAAATTGCATGTATCCAATTTGTTCCAATATTTACATTAATATTTAAAAATATTATATTTTTTAGCATAGTAAGTTATATACATTCTTTTTGTGCTTCACATTTGTTTCAGAGTAAGAAGACACATCCTCATCATTTTTGTTTGCGATTTCAGTTTCGAAAAATTATATCTGTATCCTCATAACGTGACAGTGATTTATTCTTTTGATATTATTCTTTCTAGAAAAATCTTCTATTTTAAAGTATAATTATATGTAATACAATATATGTAATATTATATAATTATCTATAATTCTTAATCTTGTACCTTATATTACAATAAATTCTTTTTGCAATTATGAAAAGTACGTCAAACGTGTATATAGATTTACAAAACAAAACAAAACTTTTTTTTTACAAAATTGTAACAGTTATAAATATTAATGTCCAAATATTAATAGAAGTCACTGTATGTATAATAAATATTCCTCGTTATTATATTAATTGTGTATCATATACATATAAAGTAAGATTATTTTCTATTGATAAAATTGTTATTTCCTTTTGCAGAAAGATAAAGTACATTTAAAATAACTTGCATTTAAAGCGAATTTACACTTAAAATGTACTTACTTTTCCTACGCATGGTACACCATTCTGATAGGCACGACCAATGTAAAGCATTTCTCCATCTATTGTTCTTCCAGCTTCAACCGCATGTGGTGGAACTTGACCGTGTCTTGCTGGGATCCACTTGAAATCGGCGGGCATCAAAACCTGTTAAGAAAAAAAAAAAAAAAAAAAAAAAAAAAAAAAATACAATGTACATATCTGTGTATCTTGAGTAATTATAAATGTGTACCTTGTTTAAAAGATCAGATCAAAGAGGCGTGTTTGGCACCTTTCTTTTCTCGTTTTAATACTCTCGATAAATAAATTATCCTAAATGAATGTAATTAATCCTAGTCATGTCTAGTTCTAATACTAATGTGACATCATTTCAAGAAAACCAAATTTGAAAATTTATTAAACACACTAAATGTATTTTTACACTAATTGTAAGTCTATCCTTAATTAAATATAGTCGAACTTTATTTCCTTGAAAACGATGTCTTATGATGTAAAACTTTATTTTACAATTTTTAGAATTAGAATTTTTAGTAGTAGAATCTTTTGATTCTTCTTTTTATAGTAAAACCTCATTTATTCTTACCTTATTTATAATTCATCAATTTCTGTTATCCTTATCTACTATCTCTTATTAAATAAATAAATAAGATACATTTAAATAAATAAAAATAGGATATGGAGAAAGTCAATGAATCTCTACTATCTAAACTTCTTGTCCTTGGTTATCCGAATAATTTTGTATTCCGACATGTTCGGATAAACAAGATTCTACTGTACTTGACAAATCTTCAAACTCGATTTCTTCAAACTCAAATATAAAGTCACGTATGAAAAAAATATTTTTTTTTTTGTTATCGACTTATTTTTACACGAATTCAGCTCTTGTACGGTTGAACAATCCTACATACTTTACGTAGAAATAATATTATTTAAATATTGTTTGATTTTACCTCAAAATCGTGCTTTATGTGTTCGTTGCCTCCGTGACTAACGTAAGCTACTCCATGTTCTGGTTTCACCTTTGCAGGAAGCATATCGCCTTGGTGTAAAGCACGTCCAACAACAAGATTCATGCCATCCAAGTCCTTGCCGACGAAGATCATTCCCGGTACGAAGTAGCGAGCACCCGTGTACCTAACCCATTTATATCCTGCAGAGATCATCGATCAACTTGAATTTGGAAACCATCTTCATAATATAATCTCTACATATTATACATCATCGTGCATAAATAATTGAACTAGTGTCCAAAAGATCAATATCCTTGTTTCGTTTTTATAGTTATGACCGATGTATTTATAATTTTTGTACCATATTCATTTCTAATAAACAGCTAACACTTCATAAAATTTATATAAACTTCTTTGAATGTAAAAAAAATATTTTTATGCAACATTTATTTATATTTAACATATTATATTTATGTATTAACATATTTATATTTAAACGTATTGAACATACTATTTTCTGAATCTGAATAAAAAAACATGTAATAAACATATCTAATGTCTCAACATTAAATGGATATATTTAAAATCATTTAATTGAGAATCGAATAATATGTAATGACTTTTTATTTTAAAAAAATAAAAAAAAAAACATAGAATAAAATTTAAAATTTTGACTTAAAGCTTCGTTTCCGAAAAAATTAAATTTGAAAATTAAGTACACTTGAATTTAGCTAATTCTAGATGTGATAAGAAAAAATAATTAAGAGGAAGTTATCTCATGAGCAAAAATGAGTAAGAAATGTAAAATAAAATTTTTTTTTACTTAAAATTTAATTTGAATTCTACAATAGTTTTCTTTTTCTGGAAAATAGGCTTTGAATATGTTTCGTTAAAAATTGTTCAATTTTCAATCTCAGGTTTTTCAAAAATAAAGCATCTTACGAAAAATTTTATTTTATATCTTTTTTTTATTTTTTTATAAGGAATCACATCGTGTTCATTTTTATATATTATTCGGCAGGACCCGAACACTAATTAATATTAGCTATTTTTTTAATTAAAAAGATTTATTTGACTTGTACTGTACATATTTGCGATAATTTAGAACTACCCAAATACACATCTCTGCACGATAGTATATTTTTATATAAATAAAAATAAGACTAAGATATGTAGCAATATAAATTAAAAATATGAAGTTTGAAAAATACAATTAATATGGTCAACGATTCAGTCAAGGATCATACGTCTTTAAGATCTCTACCTATTAATATTTAATTATAATATTAAATTTTTATATTACTTTATTATATTATTTTATATATTAAATATTAAATCTTTAAAAACGAAAATTTACAATATAAAAATATTTACACAAAATGAATGGATTGCAAGGAATCAAAGCCTTCTACTATATAATATTTTAGTTTTATTTTTGTCTATAGAACACTGACAAAGTTTGATTAAAAATATAGAACACTCTGTATATGTATAGATAGGAATCATGATTGTTAATGACGTTATTTTCGATCAAATACTTCACAGATGACGATCTTCGTTAACTGGATTAGCGTTATGAGTCATGTTAAATTTTATGAGTCATGTTAATTTATTTGTTGTTAATGTCAACTCATAAATTCCAACAATTAACTACAAAATTCCAACAATTGACTACAAATTTAAGTTGAATAACGTATAGTTGAATCTTGATTTGAAATCTATTTTACGGATTAGATAAATATAAATGTTTTGGATAAATTTACTCATAGATTCAGATAAATCGTTTTCTAATTAGTTTTGTTGGAATATAAAATTTTATGATTAAGAAAGTTGTTATCGTATTAAAAAATAATATTTAATCCTATATACGTTACTATAGAGAAAATTTGATGGAACAAACAAATATAAATTGACATTTATATCTACTCTGATAAAAATTATATTTATAACGATAAATTCGTTCAAATGATAAGATGACAGTTTAACCAGAAATAATCATGATCCACGTATTATTTTGTTTTGATACGGTTTTATGAGAAAAATATAAAATATATGAATAAAAAGTGGACGTTTATTTAATATTATATAAATGCTGAAACGTTAGATATTTATACATTCACAAAATTGGAAGTAATTATTTAATTTGTTTCGAACTGATATACGTACATACACATTTATTAGAGTTATTTTATTTGTTTTCAATATAGTGAAACGAATTATAGTATACAGGACCTTTCCAATTCGGTGAAACGGATAATTTTACACGAAAAAATAAATCGAAAAGAAAGAATAAAATTTTTAAAGTTAAATTTTGTTTTTGAAATATTTGGCTAATTCTAAACTAGATAGTGAATATTAATATGGAAGATTATGAAAATAAATAAAAAATGTGAAATAAAATTTTTCCATTTAAGCCCTTATTTAAAAAAAAAAACAAATGGACTTTGAACATATTTAGTTAAAAATTAATTTGGTAGATGTATATTTGATAATATACTGAAATAATATATACTTGAAATACTCTCAAAAATAAAGACTATTATAAAAGAGGTATATTCTATATCTTTGATTTAGTTTCACAGATAGAATAATCTTCAATTAATTATTCGTTTCTAACTAGTTTCAAATTAGTCATTATTAAATTTAAGTAAATAAATTTTCAAAATTTGTTTAAATAAATAAATTTTCAATCTTGTTTTCTCAAAAACGGAGCCTCGAATAAAAAAATTTTATTCCTTTTCTTTATTCATCTTTTAATGTAGAATTGCTTCCTTTCTGGTTATAGAGAAATTAATTTCTACATTAATGTAGAATTATTTCCTTTCTGGTTTTCCAGATGGAAAACACCTTGTATAATCTTATCTGTTATATTACACATATGAAACGAATAATATTGTTAAGTTAAATAAAAAGTACATGAGGTAATATGTGTGTGAAATTATATTTTGAATAATTACTTACCAGGCATCCTTATTTTACTAACAATACTTTCGTAAAACACCAATTTTTCTTCAACCGCGTCTGTTGAACGTGTACGGTTTCGACGGTGACACTTTGAAACTTGTTCAATGTAACATATGGGCGTCAACGTGATTTCATTCTCTTTTAAACGAAGTTATCGGTCTTATCACTGATGAGATACACTGGTTACGATATCATTGTATTGACTGAGTTCCTGAGAAATATTTCAAAGAAATTGTAGTAATTTCATTTCTAAGATTTTTAAATATTAATTTAATTTGAATAAAATTTAACATAACTCATTTATGTTTTGGTATGATATAAAAATTTTGAAAATTATTATAACCCAAAATTTTTTTTAATCCAACTGTGTTCTTATAATTTAATTGTAATTTAACTCAATTATGTTCTTATCTTTTAGAAAACTAACAATTTGAAATTACTGAAACAATTTGAAAAAGCTTCTTTATTAACTAAAAAGATTTGATCAACTTTTTATCGGACATTTAGGTTTCAAAAATAAATAATGGATTAACATCTATTCGTAAATTGATTTCATTTAATATCTGCTTTTTATATTTTTCTACTTTTAATATTCTTTTTTATTGAGGATATTTGAGTTTTTAATTAATAGAAGTAATTAATTATTTGAAGCTATTATTTTGTTTTTCCTAAATCTAAATATTATTTTACAGAAGAAAAAGAAGTATGTGAACGTAAAATTTATGCAATTAATTCAAATATTAATGCAATAAATACAAGGATAGTATTTTAATAGTATTTTTGATAGTATTTTAAAGTAATGTAGATATTTAAGAATTTTATACGAATATTTTTTGTAGATATTATATTTCAAACAATTTCTTATGTATTATCAATTACATTAAAATATTAATATGTTTAAAAATGATTCTTTATTCCACGGTATCTATTTTGTTTTAATATATTTAAATATTTTTACTTTTTTTACTTTAATGTCTTTAAACATTTAGACACTCCTTAATTGAATATTTTATGTTTAATTTTTTACTGGCCTTCTCATTAAAATAATTATCAGAACATTTTCTAATGAACAGTGATTCAAGTCTCAATTTCATTTGCTGCATGATTTCACTTTTCTTTTAGAGAAGTATCTTAATCAAATTGATTATACAATAAATTAATAACATAATCTGATATCATATGTATGTTAACGTTTTAACAATTCCGTAAAATTTCATAAAATCTAAATAGTGAAAATTTTCTTAGAAATACGAATATTGAAAATCAATATTCAAAAATTATACAATTTCATGAATTTTATAGGTGCAGTACATGTATCAATCCATATCTCATCGCGATAACTCGATAATCTTTCTCTATCAGTTGGTGTTCTGAGAAACGTTACCTTTTTTTATGTTTGACAAAATTCAATACAACATTCTTGATTTCGTATCTGATTAATTTTTATGTAGCATTATATTATTTTTATGTAGTATCATAGTATTTTCATTTCAATTAAGAATGATTGGGAGTTTTAATGCTTTGCTTTATTACTGTTTTTCAATTCTAAAATTATGATTAATGTTATAATAGATGTTTTGATATTTTTTTGCAATTGTGATGCAACTATAATAATTCTAAAAAAGGAGTGACTGAGAGTAGAGAAAAATGATATACGTGGAGAATAAAAACATTTTCATTTTAAAAAGTTGTACATTAAAAATAATACAATGAAAACATAATAATTTAATTTATCATTCAAATTATCAACATTTCATCAATAAATATTAAACTTGGTTTATATTAGTGGTTTAAAATTATAAATTATTTTTAAGAATATTCTTTTTCAAATATTGACATTATTAGTATAATTTTAACTTATTTCTTTAATGTATAATTTGGCGTTACACATCTAATATTCCGCAGATAAATATTTACATTTAATTATATGTACTGTAATTATATAAAAATGGTACTTTTATTAGATAACATATCCGATAACAATATTTTTACTATAATTTATCTTTTACACGTTCGTACTTAAGTATTACCAATGAATAAGCTGTTAATAACATATTTCTTTTTCTAGTACTCTTAATACCAAGTATTCTTAATACACATTTGCGACAAAAATTTTTGATATAAATAAATATAATAACTGATATAAATAATCGCACAAATAAAATACTAAAAATATTTATATATTGTTACTTTTATTTTTATACTTATAGTTACGTTTATTTTTATACTCACTAAACATTTACTTCGTTATAGTATAGTTACTCGTTGATATTTGGTTACATTTTAAATAAAAAAAGCTTTTGTGCAATATTGTTACTAAAGAAAAGTAAAAAACAATCATAAAATGTTTTATTAAATCATTTCTATTTTATAAAAATAAATGGGAATAATGGGAAAAGTTGCTTGGATAAATTGTCCAGTGGAAAGGAAAACAAAAATTTCATTCAAGAAGTAAGCAATTCTTGTTATGGAAAAGTATTTTTATAATCTTACGACTAATGACGTATCTTACAGAATTATTTTTTAATAGTTGCTTCTATACATACTTCTGATTAGATTGCGAAATTTTATGGCGAATTTGAAGAAAGAAACGGAAATACGTATAATATAATATAATATAAAAAAATATATAAAATATCCAAAATATACACCTGTTATAATATTTTAATAATTACAATGAAAATTATATTTTCTATCATAATTTTCTATCAATTCTATTTTTTAAAATTATATTTGAGAATATAATAATACAAATAATTTTAAATTACGTTCATAAAAATATGAATTTGTATAAATATCTGCAATTCATATAGGATGTATGTATGTATATATAATATACAGAATGTCATGTAAGCATAAAAAAAATAGATGGTCTTTGGGTTGCCAAAGTTTGCTAGAACAGCACAAGGAAACGCAATCATGTGATAGATAAATAATATTTGTCGAATTGATGGAGAGAAAGAAAATTTGAACAAGAGAATTGTCAGAATAATAAAAACGGACCCCTCCTATATATGTATCTGAACAATAAAACGTGTCTGTAATTCCGTTTTCCTCTTTTATTGATTACGCTATTCAGCAGGAATTTTGATCTGCAATATCCATTAGGAATCTTCATAGAATGTTTCATTTCAAGAATTGTTCTCAATTTCTGAAAAACACGAATTTTTTTAAAAAAAGTTTTTATGTAGAAAACTAGAAACATGGAAAATATATCAATATAAAAAATTATTGAATATTGTTCAAAGTTTTACAAAGAATCAATGGTATTTTTTATATACCTATCATGTTTGCAACTTTACGATAAACCCTTTATGAAGTTATTATATTTCATTTTTTGTTAAAACTGTATTTTTATAAAACCTCGCACTTTTCAAAAGAATTGGGAAAAATAAAACAACGAAACAATAAAAAACGATAAAACAATAAAACAAATCGTATTTGGATGAATATTGTAAATTAAAAAAGAAATATTCATTGATTTCATACAATGTTTTTTGCCATCCAATTTTTCACCTATTTATTTTATGATCCTTTAGCTTTTAATTTATCAAATGAATCATTTCGTAACTTGTATGATTATATATTGTAGACTCAAAAATTGGCCCTGATCTGGTCAATTTTAATTTCTGTAAATGTAATTTATGTAATTTTGTAATGTATAAAAAAAGTTTTGACTTGTTGGCCAGTATTCTGTCAACACATAGATTTATTATCGTTACTTTTTTTAAAGTGATATAGATTTATTATCGTTACTTTTTTTAAAGTGGCGGTTTATAATAATTTTCTTTTAAAAGAATATCCTGATAAAGTATTCATTATTAGCACTATAATTATATACAATTCTGAAATATATAAATAAATTAGAGATAAAATTATACCTACTTTTATCGATAATTAATGAAATTTTTCAACGAAAACTTGTTTTGTATATTTGTTTTACATATATATACATATCTACGTATCAATAAATTTTTTTATTAAATCCAAGATTTTTTAAATCTTGATCCTTAAAATTATATATTTTACATCATTTATTATACAGGTTGTACAAGCGAGCAGAAAGTGATTTTAGGTAAAAAAAAGTAGCTAAAAAAAGAAAATAATTTTTACAAGAACAACATTTTTTTAAGGTTTGAAGACTTTATCAAGTACATCTAAATTTAGCTAATTTTATACTTGAATGAACAGAATTATTAACAAGAGATTACTCTGCGTTTCAAAAGTTTTTCATATGATGCTTTATTTTCGAGAAAATCGAGTTCAAAAAGTTTTTACCAAGGCAATTTTTAATGAAACATATTCAAAATTCATTTTCTTGCAAACAAAGTATTAAATGAAAAAATTTTACTACATTTTTTTCCTTATTTTCGCATGCGGAATAACCTCCCATTAATTATTCTATTCCGTCATGTCTAGAATTAGAATTCAAGTATGCTTAATAAATTTTCAAACTAATTTTCTCGAAAACGAAATCTCAAACACAACAATACTATTATTTTCTTTTACGTAGGATCATCTCTCGCTCGCTTTTACCACTCGTCCCACCCTGCATACTTTCAATACGTGAAAGTGACGGCAAAAACTAGATAAATGTAAAGAGTAGAAAAAAAATTTGCATACAAATTTTCTAAGTGCATTGGTTTGAATAAATTTTATTTTAAATGCATTTTTTGTGACAATAATTTCTTTCCACATTAATATTTATAAAGATGCATAGAGTAATGTTCATTGTTGAAAAGTTAAGATCAATATTTGACTTTTTGTTTCTATATAAATCTATCCTTCAGATGTGTTTGGATTGTGTAGGAAAAAACTCGTGATTATCGATAATCTATAAAAGTTTTTTGCCATTAGTAGCAACACTAGAGTAGTTTTAAAATCTATGGTGACAGAAAATCTCTCATAGCTATATTACTTTACTTTATTTTCAATTTTTGATTAACTTTTCAATGAGACTTCAAATGATCCATGTTTATACAATATTCCTTTTTATTTATTGATAAAAGAATATACTAATAAAATTCAATCGGAAAAAACCAAAATACTTTATTTTCGAATTCTTTTGATATATCTTTGTAAAATTAATTCTACATAAAATATATTTGATATTCTGCATAAAAGTTTTTCTAGAAA